ATAGGTGTCAAAATGAATGAGTCACAACTTTTTATTGTAGTTCCTATGGAGAACGAGTTAGAATATTTTATTGTAGTTTCCAAAGCAGACTAGTCACAATTTTTTATCGCAGTTCTCAAAATGAATGAGTTACAGTGTTTTATTGTAGTCCCTATAGAGAACGAGTTAGAATATTTTATTGCAGTTTCCAAAGCAGACTAGACACAATTTTTTATCACAGTTCTCAAAATGAATGAGTTACAGTTGTTTACTGTAGTTTCTATGGAGAACAAGTTAGAATATTTTATAGCAGTTTCCAAAGTAGACCAGTGACAATTTTTTATCGCAGTTCTCAAAATGAATAAGTTAGAAATGTCTTACAATTCTAGTTCCTATGGAGAACGAGTTACAATATTTCATTGTAGTTCTCAAAAGTAGAAGATAAATTCTCAAAATGAACGAATCACAATTTAATATAGTAGTTTCCAAATGGAATTCCTAAGACGTTATTATAGTTCTCAAAGCGATAGTTACCAAGTCGATAGTTCCCCAAGCAAAACTATAGTTCCCAAGGGTACTGTTTCCAACGGTAACTCCTAAGGAATTGCTGTAATTCATAAACCGAAGTCCCCAAAGTGGTTCAATTACAGACTTTTATTATAGTTCCCGAGTGTAATTCCTAAGGCATTGCTACACTCCCTAAAATTATATCGTAGTTCTCAAAGTAATCGAATCAAAATTCTTTACTATTCTTTCCAAATGTAATTCCTAGGATGTTATTATAATCTTCCAAGCAATCGAATCACAGTTCTCCATTGCAATTCCCAATTGTAACATCTAAATCATTATTATAGTTATCAAAACGATAGAATCACAGTTCTTCCAATTGCACTTTCGAACCGTAATTCCAAAACCGCCGTTATAGTTTCCAAAACAGTATTACAATTCCGAAAATGATCGAATCACATTTTTCTCGCTGTAGTTCCCAACCGTAATTCCTAATTCAAACTTTCAAGAACATAATTAGAAAAGCAGAACTACAGTGAAAAATGGCTTTTCCTAACGAATATCACGAAAAGCGCTATACTTTATATATTTTCTATACAATATTTCTTCGTTTCACATGCATTCTCTAGAATTTTGCACTTCCAAATTCCTCATAAATGTATAAAAACCCTTCAGTCTATTTATGATTCTTGAATAATTTTTTAACCACGTCGTTGGAACTTCTACTGTAGTCCCCAAATATCACGGATGCAAGTTGATACAGTTTCCAAAGGAGAATTCTAGTCCCCAAGGCGACGCTGCGATGTCCTAGGGATTCGTTCTGGGGAACTACAATTCCCGTCCGTCTCGGATGCGTTAATATCGCCGTGTGACCGAGTATTCCGGCGATGTGAAAGAGAAAAAGAGGAGGCCGGGTAGAACAAGAAGAAGAGGCTCGACCTTGCCGGCGGCGATCTCGTTAAGTGGTAAGCGCGATAACCAATTTAGGGCCTCGGAATTTCGCTGGCGCCGCCAGAAATAGTCAGCGAACGGTGGTGTGTATAAACTATACTTAACCCCTGCTACTACTACTACGTGCACCAACACTACGCGGCCCGCTTGTTTCAACTCGCCGGCCGCGCCGCGCGGCGTGCAGTTACGCCGTCGACGTACGGTGCACGGGTATCCCTGGAAACCTGGTCATAGTGTCATTTTCTGGACTTCTAAGGCTGTACGCACACCAGCGACACGGTCGCGACGGGGCTTTCCTTTTCTCAAGGTCAACATTTATTCGTCACGATTTTTGCGCAGGGTAACGGCAAGAGTTGGCTCAGTTTTTGAAAAGGAATTATTATGATGTAAATGTTAGTGATATTTAATGAAGGGAAATAGGTTTATGAAAGCAATTTAACCCCTTGTCTGATTCATTTGATAATTATGGTGGATACAACTATTTTGTCGTTAATAATTTATTAGGAAAAGGAGAAATTTTGAAGCTTGTTAGGATTGACAATGGGAAAGTAATATAGAAATATCATTATAAATTAACACTATTTCTACCGAGCTGTCAAAAGACACCTTTTGTAATTTTAACTTACAATTATTTTACAAGTTTAGTCGTATGTTCTGAATTGACTTTTCGACCTTTCCAGTGACGATTATGCAATTAAACATAGGAAATGTCCAAAATTCTATTGAGGAGGAATCATTGGACTAAGGAAATAATTTCAAGTTAAATAATTGATAACAATATCAGGTATCATCTAACACTAACTGTCTAACACAATTTTCGCCGTGTCTATCCTTTCATTTGCGTTCAAACTTATTTTAATCGCTAGAAATAAAAAAATTCGGGACCATTTTTGAGAAATTCAAATTCTGATGTTAACAGATACGCAAATGAATGACGTTGCACGAATTAATTTGTTACGCGTACAAAGAAATATTGAAAGAGTAGTTTCCGCTATGGGTACACCGACTTGAGTTGTTTTTTGTCGGTGATATTGACCATGAAAGGCAAATACGTCGAGGAAAACAGTTGAAAAATGTAGAGCTTCTCATCGGGAACCAACGATCCTTTGATCCACACTACATTCTCGTACAGTTTGTTGTCCCATGACGAGAGAAGAGAACACAAAAATATACTCGAAGACGAAGACCTGTAGCTCCCTTCCATTAGAAATAAACCAATCTGACGTTCGAGATTCATTACTCGGTCAAATACATTTCTTAACACTGTAGGGATCGGGAAGTCGATTTGTCAACGACACCTATAAGGAACGCTAAACTATCTCCTGCAACGAAAATTTTGACTGTCAAGCGCAAGACCAAATGGTAACACCGAAATAACTTCTAACAAAAATATTGATTTTGTATCCACTCGGTGGTGATTTGATTAGAAAATCATTTTTTATTCTATAAAATTAATCTTTGGTGAAAGTCTACTTCTTTTATTATGCCATACTTTGTTCCGTGATTTTATATCAATTTTTGTGTAAGAGAAACTGTATTTTATATTTTTTATGACAGATCCATAACGTATTACGAAAAAAGGCATGATATCTCGCAAAGTTGCTTAGTAAATACTGCGCCAAGAATAGTGTGAGTTGGTGATTGATTAGAGAAGGTATTTATGTACAGCGTGTTCTATAATTAAATAAATAAACTTGGTTAACGCTTAGAAGATTGTGAAAACTAAGTAACTAAGCTACCAAACAACCAAACATTTAAGCAACTAAGTAACTAAGCTACCAAACAACCAAACATTTAAGCAACTAAGTAACTAAGCTACCAAACAACCAAACATTTAAGCAACTAAGTAACTAAGCTACCAAACAACCAAACATTTAAGCAACTAAGTAACTAAGCTACCAAACAATCAAACAATCAAACAACCAAACAACCAAACAACCAAACAACTAATCAACTACGTCGACGAACAACTAAGCAACTAGTAATTTATTTTCTTCTTCAAGAAACAGAATATCAGTTAACATCACCTGCATACAATCCGACCTGACCAAAATTCATAACATTTAAACACTTAGTTATTTACTATCTATTAAAATAGTTGACAGAAAAATTCAACTTGTGCATAACTTCAGCTGTAGTAGAGTACACGAAAGATTTTTAATTTCACGTAAAGATGTACAAGCTGGTAATGATATCACATAGTCGTCTAATTACAACTATAAAGAAGGATAAGGCCTCGGTATTCCCCGAATATCGGATCCAGGAAGCAGCCGCGATAAATTAACCCGCGCGTTGTTCTTGAGACGGTTAAACGGGTATCACGATCGTAAATTATTGGACATCGTTGTCCCCGAGCGAGGATTCCGCTCGATAATATTTGAATTTGAAATTGACGGGGAGCCAATTCATTACATCAGAGGCAGCGAATTTTCCGGGGACGCTCGGTGAACGCGAAAACAAAATCTTTCTCTTTTCTCTCCCTTTAAATTTCATTTTATCATTTTCATGAACGGTGAAGGTAATAACATTTTCTCGATGATAAGGTAATTCCGGTAATAGTACCATAACTGTTGATTTTAATGAAACCTTGACCGTTGTACTCGTGTATATTACAATTTCAGTTTACAATTTCAATGCTATTAGCATTTTTGTATTCATCAAATTATCGTGTAAATGAATACGACGACGCAGAAATGGAATGTGAGCTGACATTTTGGCAAGAAAAAAAACTTCCTTTCAGATTCATTATTCATATGCAAATTTAATATTTAATTTAGACGGTTCTCGCGTATTTTTCCCGCAATTTCATTTGTTCGAAGGATAAACGGAAATTAGATGGGGAAGAGTAACTTATGGGAACCCATTTATTACAGCTGGACAGGCCGCGTTGGCAATTGTAAACGAGAATGGGGAAGCAACTCAGAAAGTTCCTGGAATCGTTCGTTAACCAAGAAATAACGCGTAGAAACAATAACAAACCAAACAGATAGTATAAATCAAATTATACGAACAATATTATATTAACTATATTTAGCTATGTTTAGTTATGTCTAGCTATATTTAGCTATATTTAACTATATTTAACTATATTTAACTATATTTAACAATATTTAACTCTATCTAACTATATCTAACTATATTTAACTATATTTAACTATATTTAACCATATTTAACCATATTTAACTACATTTAACTACATTTAACTATTTTAAACTATATTTAACCATACATAACTATATTTAACTGTATTTAACTATATTTAACTATATTTAACTATATTCATCTACATTATTCTGAACAAAAAGGTGTCATTAATAACTAGAAAAAGACAGTACAAAGGTAACATGTTAAGAACACGAAAAAGTGATTCAGTCAAATAGACATCAAGAACGTAACAGTGTTAAACACATAGAATCGCCAACTGTCAGCCTGTATTAAACTATTACCGCGACACATACTGTATGATAAATTGTTAGTTGTCACGTAACGAATAATATTTTACGCGTAACGCGCACTGGATCGCTGTAACGAGAGAAAGTCCTCAGGTCGTATTATGTTTCAGGGAAAGTGCACCTGGGCGGGGACCAATGGTCGACGGGTCACCCTGCAGGATACCTCACTGAGATCGCTGTCAGAAATCGAAAGGAAGGTCCTTTGCAAGGTGGCTGTCGCGAAGCTTCAAGCCTTGAATTTGGGGGTACACATTAGGCCGCCTACTGGTAAGTGTCTTCAACGTTTTCACCTCTTTACACAATATACCTTTTTTTTATTGAAAAACAATAAATTTGACAGAAGTAATAAACATACGAATGGTTAAGAATATTTATACCAAAACGCCTTACATACTTATGATATTGTTTTTTATAATAAACTTAGAACAAACTTTAAACCAAAAATTAAATACAATGAAAAACGCCTTATATACTTATAATATTGTTTTTATATAAAAGTCTTAGAATAAACTTTAAACTAAACATTAAATGTAATGAAAAACTTGAACAGTTATTTTATTTTCGGTTCAACCAAATCATTACCGAAGGAAAATATATGATTTTTCTGATAGATCGTTGACAATTATTTTTCTTTCGATGGACAAGTTGTCTAAAACTTCGAAGTTTCTACATTTTTGACAGATCTGAAACCTAAAACATCTTTAAGTTTTAAAAGTTCTGATTACATAAAGAAATGCTCGAAATGATGAATGTTTAGAGACCAAAGATGCTAATTGACGTGTCGTTTTATAATTAATTACAAAAGACAAGGAAGCAATTTAACCGAGACGTTTCGATCTGTTAGTTCGCGCGTTGGCCTATTGATTTCGCAATGGCATATATGCGAAATCACTTTCTTTTTGTTCGCGGCGAATTGCGGTCGTCAACGTTACTCAACAATCAAGAGAGGGGTCGTATTTCATCGAGTTCCATTTTCTCTTGTGCGTTCTGCGTTCCTTTGTTCCACTTCCGTATCAAAGCGGAAGTGAATCAATGAAACCACAATAGAGAAAAGAGAGTGCAACGATTTCTTACAGAGGAGAGGTTGTATTCACCCTTTGCACTCGAGAGGCGGCTGCCAGTCGCCAGATGATTTGACACAGTAAAATTATAAACTTTTGCATTCACCATTTAACTTTGTATACTGCATCGAAACGTGAAATATCGGAAGAAAACAGCTTTGTTCCCTAATTTATGCGTGATTTCTTGATAAATTAATTTTAAAGAATCTTGTCAACATCTAATCGGAAAGTATTGAGTATTTCAAGTGAAAAACTTTCGAGTGCAAAGGGTTAAAACTCTAGCACGAATCGAAATCTGCTGATTCCACGCATTGTCGATGTTTGTTTGTTTCAAACAATGAGTAGAAAGTATTTCATTCCTTTTCGTATTGTTTCTCGTTTTCAGAATCCCTCGGTGGCAGCGCTATCACTACAAAGCCGAAGAGGAGAGCACCTTTGCTGAAGAGGAAGGCTCTCACGACAGGCTTCTTCGATAATAAAGGGAAGGATGACAAGGAAAAGGGTGAGTGACAGGTTAAACACTTGTTAGTTGTCTAATTTTGTGGCAGAGTTAGATGGAGACTGTTAATGTTGCAGATGAAGTCATATCTTTTTATTAAATTAGAGGAATGTTGGAGATTTTTGAAATCTTAAAAGCTTTAAGGATTAAATGCTTGTAAGTTGTAAGAAGCTTTTAAAATCTTTTCATGATTCAGTGGTTCGGAAGTTAGAAAGTTTGTAAGTTTGATAGTTTAAAAAGTCTTCGCGATCTTATAAGTCTTCAAAACCAGAACATTTTAAAGGCTTCAAAAGTCTTAAGGTCCCCAAAAACGAAAATCCCTAAATTCTTAAAAGTCTAGAATGGTCCCATAAGATTTAAAAGTTTTCTGTTTGTCCTATATCTACATTTTCTCCAATAATTAACAATTTACAATAAAGAAGAATGATATTTAATTTCAAAACAATCAACTACAGTGACACATGTTATTTTCCAAGTTTAGTGAATTGACTTTCCCAATAACGATTATAAAATGTACTATAGGAAGTGTCCAAAATTAAATTGAAGAAAATTCTTAAACTGAGAAAATCAAAAAACATTTCAAGTTAAAATTTCAGAAAGTGTCTTTCGATACCTTCGGTAGGAATAGTATTAACCGTTTACGATCGGTGGTACAGTGGCGACATTTAACATTTGTTTTCGAAACCGGTATCGCCAATATGGCGGCATGTTCTTTTTTTCTGAGTATAGTGTTATTTTACGATCGAGAGGTATTGTATTTATTATTCTTTACGGAATTTATATTCAACAAAACACATTAACTTCAACAAATTTGTAATATCTATATATTTATTCTAAACCACCTATAGAAAATATATATATATATATCTTTTCAAAGTTATTTTTCTACAGGTGGTTTAAAATAAATATATAGATATTACAAATTTGTTGAAGTTAACGTGTTTTGCATTACGATATAAATATTTATACTTCGACTATTTGGTACTGTCACCACAAAAATGTGTCGGTCTTAAATGATTCAACGATTTTCTCTCCGACAACGCGGAAAGTGGCCAAACACCGAGAAAATGTATCAGGCTTCCCTGCCCGCGGCGTGCTCCGATCGTTGCGCGGCAATAGAAATTCACCGGATAGTGTAAATAATTAAATGCGGTGAATTAAGTGCGCAGTTTAATGCGCGGACAGCGGCACGGTTAACGATCGTAGATTTATGGGCCAATTATTTGTTTGGAGAATAACTAGCCCAGCTATTTTCAGGTGCGATTCTGTTTGCCGAGGTTTCCTAGGAGACTACTCTATCATTTTATGCGTTTACGACATGCCCGCGCGCGCGCGCGGGTATTCCGATCCGGTTGTGCCGCAGGAAAGACAAATATTATCGTTGGGACAAATTTTCGTGTTGTTCTGCTCCTCCCTTCCTCGCTGCGAATTCCACTGTCTCGGTGATTACGTAAATTAGACGCAAGGACTTCCGTTCTCGCGTAATCGACTAATCTTCTCTTGACCACGATCGGAAAGCTTCGTTTCCATTCATGTTTCTGCTTTTTATATGAAAACGATGTTTCCTAATAAATGCTGATTCCAAATATTTAGATATTTCTTATTTAGACGAGAAAGTTTATAGTGGATAAGAGTTTTTAAAAGAAATTAACGCAAAGAAACGCGGGAATGAAAGTAATGGAATTTATGTAAAACATGTCACGTGAATTCAGGTGACGTGGTACTTTAAGGAGGCATTTACCTTAAATCTGATGGAACAATAAAATTTAAATTTGAAATATTTTTCAAATTTGTATACATATGTACTTATTGCTCGGGGATGATCCCTGGAAGGAGTGTGTCTAATTCAGTTTTCATCAGTCTTCTTCTCATTCTTGATTAGAATCTGCTATTCGTTAATACTGTTACACGTAACCGATTAAAACTATAAACACATAGTGAGAGACCCTTCTTGTCTCTGTGCCATCTTTAACGTAGCAAATTAGTACTAAGAATAAATAAATAAATAGTTCCTAAATAATAAATATACAATACATATATTAACCCTCTGCACTTTCACCATTTGATTCGATATTCCGAAATTGTAAAGTCTTACAAAGAATATTAATCTTCGTGTGATCTATAAATACACATATGTGAAATACTGAAGTAGTAACTTTGGTTCTTAATTTGTTCTCTCATTCAGTTCGTCACAAGTGTTGTTCGTGTCGTGTACAACATATTGAAATGTTGAATATTTCTAGTTTAAAGTCTTCCGAGTGCAAAGGGTTAATAATAAATATACAATAAATAAGTTAATAATGAATATAAAATAAATGAATAAATAATAAGTACAGGTATTCCCCCATAACACAGCATCATACACGGTTTCGTCTAACACGATAAGAAAATTGCGAAACCTTTGTATAAAACTACTACAGCACTAGATAACATGACTTCTGTTTACCATAATTAAAAACCTAATTACCTTAGAATAATGAGTCTCATGTAACACGGTTTCGCTCTAACACAACATTTTCTATGAAACTATCTACCGTATTATAGGAAAGTCACCCGTAAACAATAAATTTCGTCTGCATTTCTCAAGAGAAAACTCAAAGAATTACCCATGGTTCGACGTTCAATTCACCGTTTCCTCAACGTGGCTGAGACAAGCGAAAATGTTGGACACCTATGGTGTAAGCGACCCCGCGGCACGGCTGTTCCGGATCCCGTTTGACGTCCGGTGGTCCCCGTGGCACTCGTACCCGCCGGTTACCGCAAATAAACTCGGTATATGCGGAAATATGCATCGCCACCAAGCACCCCGTGGCTAATTTTAACCGGCGAAATTGTGTCTCATACCAGGCTGGCCGATGCTTGTTCCCGCTGCCTGGTACTCGTGCACATGGCCGACCGGCTGGCCTTTTTTTCCACCTCTTTACGCGATTCGACTTCGATCCGAAACGGAGAACTCCGCGCGATGCTATTTCGCGCGTCACCGCGATGATGAGGGATCGCGTTGCCGCGCCAGTGCGCGTTGGCGTTGCTGTGTCCAGCCGCTCATTGGGAAATTCGATGAACCATACGAAAGAAATATTGGAAAAGCGGCACGACAGTGTGCGTTGACCTTTGAAATTCACCTTTAACCCTCTACGGGCCGAATTTTTCTTGGTGATTATAACAAAATCGTAATACGTATTCTTTAACACTAGGTTTACGGAACGCGTCAAATTGACGCATATTGGATTTTAGAAATATTATGTTGCAAATGTTTACATCGATTTCGATCGATGCGATCACACTGACGTGTACCCCAATTACCTACTATCAAATCTCCAGTTTCCACAATCTAAATAAACGAGCATCAACTCTTTTAGGCATAATAGAATGAAGTGTACAATAAATGCCTAAACCTAGTGTTAATAACAAAGGCAAATGCTATTGAAAATAATTATTAACGGTTTAGTATCACAGTAGTCATATGCTATGATCCGGCTACTTATTTTACTAAATATTTTTATTCAAAATCAAGTTTCTTATTGTAATTGTTCTTCGGCAATTTCGAAGCTACGGTGATCGGTGACCACCGTGGCAGCCAACGTGCTAAATCGAAGTCGTGCAATTCGAATGCCGTAAATCGAGGGCTAAGTGTACAAGAAACTTTCCCCTACTCGCGAATGCTTGCAACAAAGTAGCGGATGACGATGGATCACGGTGCCAGGAATACGCGATCGAGTCTCGTCCGTTTCTCGTGAAGTTTACGTTTCCGCAGCGGCGCGCACGACCATCAAAGAAGCCTCGAGAAAATCCGATGAAACAATTTCCCGCGCGACACGCGGCGTTTGCCAAATTTCGTTTGGCCGGCGTAAGTCCATTCTGGTCTCTCATCTTCGTGCACCTTCGCCGAACCGCGGAAATGGGATTTCCATTGTCCTTCGCCTTTCGAAATGTCGTATTTAATCATCCGATCGAGTTGTTGTTATTATCGCACGTCCGTCAGGCTAAATATCACCGCATCAGGCAGCATTATTCGTAATACAGAAATGTTTTCAGATAATCATTGTTTAACACGTTGAATGCCGCGCGATTTCATAGAGCAAAATACACAAAATGGAAGAAATACAATATTAAATCATTTGTTCGAATTGAATTATTATTATTGCACATTGATATAGCTGAATGGCACCGCATTAGCATTATTTATAATATAGAAAAGTTTTCAAATAATCGTCGTTTAATCGAGTGAACTACGCTAATTCGATTTGGTTTACGGTCATCGGTGACCATAGCAATCAACGTATTAATCCAGTAATCTCAGTTAATCCCAATTGTACCACGTGTTTTTGTAACGAATCATACCACGATGTGATTCTCAGTCACTCATGAATAAAAGGAATGATTAAAATGTTATCGTTTTTGTTTATAGAGCCCAAATTTTAAAAGAAAAACTGTTGGAAATGCAATATGAAATAATAGAAATATTTAAGTAAAAAGTTCAAACGCGACTCAAAGTCACATCGTGGTCCGATTGCATCAAATCAAGTACTAATCAAGAATCACCTTTCACTGGGAACAAAATATCCGCAATGTGTCAAGCGAATGGAGGAAAACGAAACCGAAGGGAAGTTTGATGAAAAGTGTCGACGGTATCGAAGAGTTCCAGGGAAAGGCTGGTTCTTCGGATCCATTGTCGCTTCTTGAGAGTGGTTGACGTTCCACGATCAGAGAGAGAATGAGAAAGAGAGAGAGAGAGAGAGAAAGAGTGGGTGCTCGTTTGGAGAGGCTGGGATGGCCCAGATTGTGGTCTATAATCGGACCGGTATAGAGAC